GGATCCCAAAATCTAAATGATCTATGGTTGGCCTCGTAACCTACAAAAAATAATTTCCTAGCTCTATGTTGCCCTTTCAGTCTTGTGAGGGAATATGCACCCATGCTGGAGCTCCAAATGTGTGTAGATAACTTAAATTTAGTTTTCTGACATGCGAACGAGTGAATGGCAATTCACCAGTTGTTGTGTTCACCACATTGTTTAACACATGGTTGCTACACATTATGGCCTCACCCCACAGTGTTTCAGGCAAACCTGAATCAGATAACATAGTGTGAGCCATGGCTTGTAATGTATGCCCTCTTCGTTCTATAATCGAGTTATGTTGTGGCCTGTAAGGTGCAGAACGTTTATGCTTGACACCAGCCAATTTTAACATAGTTTGGAATTTATTGTTAATAAACTCAGTCCCGTTATCAGTAACTAAAGTAATTACCCTATGTTTCATTTTTCTCTTTGCAAACCTTAGCCAATTAAAGAAATGTTGGAATGTTTCTGTTTTGTTTTTCATTAAATAGCAGAAACCGTACCATGAGTAATGGTCTATTATACACAAAACATAGCAGGCACCTCCCAAACTGGGTTTCTTAGGACCAATTATGTCAGCAAACACAACCTCTAAAGGTTCTTTGGTCTTAAACCCATTCCGTCTGTTTGCAGGACAACCCATTCAGTCTGTTTGCTTTTCTCCTGATTACAGGCATTACAGTTTAAGTACTTGCTACAGGGTTTTAATTTTTACTCCCTCTGACAATTTGACAGTTTGTTTCAACATTTTGAAATTAATGTGCCCCACACGTCTATGCAGTAAATGTATACTTTCGTCATGTGGCTTAACATTATTATAAACCGAGTTAGCCATCTTGGTCATCATGTATAACATATAAATCATTCTCTAAAGTAGCAATAACACTTTTACTCTCTTTCTCTATTATACAGTTATCTCCCCTAAAGGTTACTACATAACCAAGATTAGCTAAAGCTCTTACTGATAACAAATTAAATTTCAATTTAGGTACATATAACATAGATAAATACTCATTTACACATGAATAATATGCAGTACCTTCACCAGATGCTTTCATCTTCCATCCGTTTGCCAATGATACATGTTGCTTACTCACGGACATCTTTATAAACCTCTCTCTATTTCTAGTAATGCACTGCGATGCTCCACTATCAACTACCCAGAAATCATGATTTACAGTTGAATTACTAGACAGCTAAATTAACATTCTTCTAGGCCTTCTGGTAATTACCAATATTCTGTCATTTTCCCTTCTTACAGAATCTAGCTATATGTCCCTTAGCCCCACAAGATAAACATTTTCTAACAGTATAGGCAGTTGAAAACAAATCCTCTTCTTGTGGTTGTTTTTCTCTTAGTTCGTCTCTTTCCAGCCTTCTTCTTGCCTCTTCTAACAATTGTCAGTCAATGTCACTTCATCTCTGGTCAGGACTTCTAGTGAAGATACATAATCATCATAGCTTTCATCCAGTGAGGAAAGGATGTTGTAAACTAAAAAATCAGTTCCTTTTCATGTAGCTCTTGAAAAATTCTTTTCATAAAGTTCAAATGAGCTAACATATCTCCACCTTTCCGAAGACGTGCTCTAAACAGTTTACGTGTAAGATGTATCTGTGCACCTACAGTGTCACGAACATAAATCCTCTTCAAATTCTCCCAACACCTTGCAGCAGACTCTTCTCCACGAATATGGACTAGCTGCTGGTCACTCAGTGTTAGTCCAATTATACAAAGAGCTCGTTCATTGTTCTATTTAAAGTCAGCTAATGTCTTGGCATCATCCTCATTATTTGGATCCCAAGCATTTACATCCGGTGGATTTTGAACTGCAGCCTATAACCCTTCCCTACGCAGAAGTAGACTGCACTTCATAGACCAGGAAACATAGTTTGTTCCATCCAACCGGGTTATCAGTGAGAGACTTGTTGAAGTGTCTTGTGCCATCTTTTCCAGGATAGTAACCCACAATTAAACAGTAAACAGCTGTCTGTATACAGTACTGTGTATTCACACTCAGTTATCTGAGCCTGGTATGGCCTGGGCCCATATCCAGTGTTAAGGTAATTCCCTGTTAGGAGAATGAGTGCACACAGGGAGACGTAGTGAGAGTGATGTTGAATAACACACGACCAGCACACAGATACACTTAATAGTAAAATGTAGGTTTTACTTCCAGTAAATGGTTAAGCAAAGTCCAACAAACAGTCCAAGACATACACGGTTAAAGCAGTCAGTATTCAGTCCAGGGATAATCCAAATAACAAAATCCAGTATCATACACAGTTCAGTAACAGACTTACAGCAATCCAAGAAGAATGACAATCAGCAAGAGTCAATAGGGAAAATGTAAGAACCTAAAACATCGACCATCAGAACATCTAGCAACTAGCAACTAACAACAACAGAACAACCCAGGTTTCTGGCTCCATCTTATGGCCGTTTGAGGAACCACTCCCAATTACAATTTTAGCATTCCCTTAAAGAGACAGTATTAAATGTCTATCCTGGTTTATATATTTCCAACCCAATTGTTAAGTGACTATCCATTCCTAACAGATATCAATATACATTGTGTGAGTGCATAAAGGAATGAGAAATAAAGAATGCTAGTTTTTATTTTCAGTTTAGTTTAATAATATAAGAAAGCCTTGCTGAATAAGTCCATATTCTCTAGTATTGTCGCTCGTGCAATGGCCACTAGCTGCTTGCAGCAAATTTTATATGTGTAAAAAGTTTTTCCTTTACTCAATCTTGAATCTTCCCGCCTTTAGATTCAGCATGTGTCCTCAGGTCTTACTATTATATGTGTGAGAAAAAAATAACTTAACCCAGTCTTCAAATAAAGATTTAATTCTTTAATTCATGCATTAAAATAAGTTTATTTAGTGCAATTTGTAGAAATAGTGTAGTGTCTCCTGCTTAGGCGGGGTGGGGTGGACTGTACTAGATGACCGACAAGGTTCTTTCCAACTCTATTAATCTGTTAAATCTGTTAAATGTATTCTACAGAAAATATTGTTGAGCAGATGATAATATTTTGGCATGCTGTGCAGAATATTCCTGTTTTATTCACATGTAAACGTACAGTTAGACCTTAATTAATGATTATAATTGGGACTAAAATATCTATCACTAAGTGATGCAATTGTAAACCGTAATGTTATATAACCACCTCATTTAGCAACAATTCCTGTTGTAACCATTTACATTGTTAAATGAGATTCACAGGTTGTTAAGCAATGACCTCCTCACCACTTCCTGCTGGCTTCCAACAATCAAAATCAGTGGGGAAGCCAGCAGGAATTTGTATGTTCCAGATGACTTGGAAGCAGACTGGTAGACATGTAAAGAGGGGTGTGCAGAGGTGGCTAGGAAGATAAGGTACAAGTACAGCAGTGCCTGGGATGGCAACTACATGGCAGGGTGGGTGGCTGGCCAGGGAGACATTGTAAGTGCTACTGCATGATTTGCCTGACAGCTGCCATAAATCAGGTCTGATTACACTGCAAATTTTGTTCTTAATTGTTGTTGTTGAGGACTACATGTACCTGTAATTAACAAGCTATAGAATTTTCATTTGTTTGAATATTTCTTCTACCTGTAAACTGAATATTTTCATGGTTTACATGGTAGCCAGGAAAATAGGTGTTTAAATTAGGAGGCAGTAACAGAGTGTATTAAATCTGTTGGGTATCTCTGTAACTCAAGTATGTCTTTCCCTGGGAGCAGAAGACTGTTTTTGAATCCAGGAAAAAGTGCATCTTCTTAAAGAAGATATTAGCAGGTACTGAAAGTTACACCTGTCTTTCCTGAAACATCTTTTTTAACTTCATAATCTGATTAGATGCATATTCTGAATACTTGTTTATTTGTTCATTGGATTTATATGGCTGCCCACCAACTCTCAGTGACTCTGGACAGCTTTACAAACAATAAAAACCCAATATAAAAAGAATAAAAACGTAACCCACTCCCCCACTGGGGACCCCACTGGAAACAACAGGCAATTAAATGAGCCACTTGATGGGCCCTATTCCACTCTGGGTTACCTAGGCCTGTTGGCAGAATCAGGTCTTCAGGGCCCTGTGAAACAGTATCAAAGTGAGGGCCAGTCTAATTTCTGCAGGGATGATGTTCCAAAGGGAGAGAGCCACCACCAAAAAGGCCGTTCTTCTTGATCCTGCCAGATATACCTCCTTAGGAGAAGGAATCACAACATTCTGTGCCTCCTTGTGTAGTGTATCAGGTGGCTGTAAGTGGGAAGAGACAAATAACCTGATCCCAAGCCATAAAGGACTTGAAATGTGACAATCAGCACCTTGAATTGCATGAGAAGCATAACAATCAATATAGCTCCCACAGGAGAGGTGCTGCCTGGGTCTGCCTAAAACCATTTGACTGCTGCATTTTGAACTAATAGGACTTCTGGATATTTTTCAAGAGCAGCCCCATGTAGAGTGCGTGTTGCAATAGCCAAGACAGGAGATGACTAAGATGTGACTGTCTGAGCAGGGATTGTTGGTCCAGGAAAGGGTGTAACTGGCATACAACCCATAGTTGTGCAGAGGCTGTCTGGGCCATAACTGCTATTTTCTCCTTGAGCAGAAGTTTTGAGTCCAGGAGAATCCCCAGATTAAACACTGGATCTGTTTGGGGTAATGTCACCCCATCCAAAACCAAAAGTGGCAGTTATCCATGGATCAAGGAGTCACAAACTCAGAGCTATTCTGTCTTGCTTAAATTCAGTTTCAGCCACTTGCTTCCTGTCCAGCTCTTAACAGCCTCCAAGCACTGTGGGTGGGAGGGTGGGGTGGGAAGTCATGACATCACTTTACTCTTTTACTTATCTGACATTTTAGAGCAGATTATTATTCATAAAATGAAAGTATTTTTATTTTGTCATTGAAGCTTGTCTGAAAAAGAAAATTTTATTACATTTCTTCCCCCTCTCTCCCTTTCTCTCCCTTTACAGTGGGAACAGATTTGGAGGGTTACTTACAATCGCATGCTACTTTTTCAACCATGGGGAGGTATGTCTGCAAATTAATAGTTATTTTAAAAATTGAGTTAACATTTAAAATGTAAGTACTTTATAGTTAAACTAACTTTTAAGATGTACTGTTGGAAATAAATTGAGATGTTCATATTTTCTGATTTGATCAAATGATTTTGGATCTATTCCAGAAAGGTGCTTTGGAGTATGCAGAACACAAATGTAGCATTTGTCTGTAACTCTTTAAATCAGACGCACATTTTGCTGCTTAAACAGTGTGCTTTAAATCACACAGTTATGTTCCTGCATTTTTAAAAAGACATATCAAATCTGAAGGCCCATAAAACTCTGTTATGCTTCTTATCTGTAAAACTAATTTTATTCATATTTATTTGGAAATAAGTTTACTGTGGGTGTAATTTTAATGAAAACTGGAAATAACTGTGGGTTTTTGACAAAATTATCATAAAATAAGGTCACATGACTATCATGTGATTTTTTTATGACTATCATAAAATGAGGTCACATAACCTTATTTGCAGGATGCTGTATGCTGCCATGTTGCCAAGTGACTAAAGGGTTGGGTTGTGACTATCATAACTATGGATCCAGATCCCTTTTTTCAGATAGGTTATAACTTCAAATGATGGCTAATGAAGAGTCAGTGTTTGTTTTGCAATTTGAGCTTCATTCATTGCTTGTATGACCAAACTATCTCAGTATCATTCTGATAACTTTTTTATTAAAATGTTTTTTATTTTTATATTTTACACATCTCTTCACGTAAGCAATGTGATTCCAGATTACAACATTTATACTTAGTCATACTTACATTTCCAACTTTCTTATTTAATATCACATCAAATTATTAACTACTCCACTAATCTTTAAATACATTTCCATTTCATATTTCAATTCATTAATTCAATATCAAAATCGTTTCCTCACATATATTTCCTTTATCCCCTATTATTTCCATTTTCAGTTTACCACCTATTTTATTTTGCCTTATACATTATTATCTTCATTAATTAACTCAAGACCAACATATAATAAACACTAAAAAAATTTAAAATTAAAATAAAATTAATGTATTCAGGATCCACATGGTATATTCCTCAATATGCAATATATCTAATATTTATTCCAACACTATTCATATAACCATTTCATATTTTTATTTCCATATAGGCAAATTTTACCCTTATAATTTAAATAAAGTTTCATTCCCCTACTTTTAATTATAATATAATATTCCCATTATAAAATTCCAATATGATCCATATTGTTTATTTTCTCATATCCTTTTTTTAGTCAATTATAATTTCTATTTCATTATATATATATGTGCATGCAGATCTTGGCTGTCGGGTCTTTTCCCGTGTAAGATTGAGAATATCTTGGCGACGTTTTGACGAGGTCTCACTCACCATCTTCAGGCTGGTGCTTTTGGCTTCGTGCTTGTGTGAGCAAAGCGTGATCGGAGCTGTTGTCTCTCTATAAATACTGGTGGGAAGGTTGGCTGTGTTATCATTTCTTGATTGGTCGATGCAGTTGATGTTTGCAGATTGGCTGGCTTTTTCGTAAGAACATATGTGGCTGAGGTATTGGCTGTGTGTTTATCAGCCTCCTGTGTTGTAACAACCTGGGTAATGGGCTGTGTGATGACCTTCTGAGTTCTATTGTTTTGACATTACAACCCAGGAGATTACAGCACAAGAGCCAGGATGTCAAAACAATAGAACTCAGAAACTCATCAGATAGCCTATTACCCAGGTCTTACAAAAAAGCCAGCCAATCTGCAAACATCAACTCCATCAACCAATCAAGAAATGACAACACAGCCAACCTTCCCACCAGTATTTATAGAGAGACGGCAGCTCTGATCATGCTTTGCTTGCACAAGCACGAAGCCAAAAGCACCAGCCTGAAGATGGCGAGTGGGACCTCGTCGAAACGTCACCAAGATACTCTTAATCTTACATGGGAAAAGACCCAAACATGCCAAGACCTGCATACCTGTACCGGTGAAAATCTGTGTATATGTAGACTTTCACAGGTACAGGTATGCAGGTCTAGGCATGTTCAGGTCTTTTCCCGTTTAAGATTGAGAGTATCTTGGAGGTGTTTCAGTGAAGTCCCACTCGCCATTCTCAGGCTGGTCCTTTCAGCTTCGTGCCAGCGCAAGCAGTGTGTGATCGGAGCTGCCGTCTCTCTATAAATACTGGTGGTGGGGGCTGCTGTGCTGTGCTGGTTGGCTGTGTTGCTGCCTCTTGATTGGTTGATGGAGTTGATGTTGGTATAATGGGCTGTGCGATGGCCTTGTGAGTTTTCTTGTGGAGATGTCCTGGATCTTGTGCTTTATTCTCCTGGGTCGTTTGTGTTTTGATCTCTTTTCCATTAGCCTCCTGTGTTGTAACGGCTTGGGAATTGGGTTGTGAGTTTTATTGCTGTGGTATCCTTGGTCTTGTGCTGTGATTTCCTGGGTCATTTGCTGTGTTGCAACTTCTTGAGTTCTTGTGGTGTAATTTCCTGAGTTTCCTGATGTGATATCCTGAGCGGGTGGCTGTGATGTAGCATTCTGGGTTTTGGTCTGGCTTCAAGTTTGGGGGTCTGGGTCTGTGTTCTTGGTGTGTGTCAGCTTGTTTGGTTTTGGGGTTGGGGGGTGCGACAGCTGGCGAAGCAGCCATGGTCTATTTTCTGGATGGTGGTTGTCCTTTGTTTATAGGATGGACTTGGGCCTGGGTCTGATGAGAGGGATTGGCGGTAGTGTCCCGTTTTGTTTTGGGTCTGGTGTTGTTTTTCGTGGCCCGGACTTGTTTGTTGGTGAGGGCTAGCTTCCAGATGTCTGGTAGGCGAGAGGTATTTTCCCGTCTATTCATGTTATGGGTGTGTTTCTCTATCTCGATGGCTTCCCTAATTATTCTCTTGCTGGAATGTTCAGTGTTGGATATTAATTTGGTTTCTTCAAAATTAATTTCATGTCCTGTGGCTTTAAGGTGCTGGAAGAGGGAGGAAGTATTTTCTTCTTTTCTGACTGTTGTTTTTGTGTTCTGCAATGCGTTCATTTATTCTCCTGTTGGTTTGTCCAATGTATGTGGCTGGGCAATTGTTGCATGACAATTGCACTCAGACAATTATAGTATATATGTATATATGTAGGTCTAGGTGTGTTCTTTCCCCATGTAAGATTAAGAGTATCTTGGCGACATTTCGGCGAGGTCCCACTCGCCATCCTCAGGCTGGTGCTTTCAGCTTCGTGCCAGTGCAAGCAGTGTGTAATCGGAGCTGCTGTCTCTCTTTAAATACCTCCACAACAAAACTCACAAGGCCAAAATCTATGAAAACAAATATCGTACCTCTATGGGGAGGAAACCTTCTGGCTAACCAGGACCTACAAGAAACTTGAAGTCCGAAGAGCCACCATCTTGTGTGATCTCACATTCCTACGCAATTACCGAGACAAAAATGTGATTCCCACATGCTTCCAACTCAAATTCCATTCCAAAACTTCAGCCACTGAAGGATCCTGAAAAGAACGGAATTAGTCTAATCAGAAACGAACTCCACAAAAAAAGATTCCTACTAGACCAAACCAACAGAGACCTACTCACACTCCATCTCAAACTCAGCAACAAAATCCACCCAGCACTCTGGGACAAATCCAAACAACTAGCCTTCTGGAGAGCTGAAACAGAAACCTCCCACAAGACAGACACACACACACCAGAAAACTCCACAGACTAGAGAAACGCCAGAAACCCAACCCTTCTCCATAACAACACATGAAACTAACAGTACACAACATATCAGACAGAACCCTCACCATAGCAGAAACCAATGTCCTTTCCAAAGGATTCAACTTTGAGGTCGCCCCCAAACGCATCCCCACTGAAAACATATGCGGAGTTGAAGCTAGCCTAACTAAAATCAACCCAGATGCAGCCAACAAAATCAGACTTAAAAGTTACCAACGTCCTCTGCTTCAGCAACCCACCCAGAAGCAACCTACACAGAGAAGAACAAAAAGCACTCACCAACCTGAGGAAAGACAGCAACATAGTCATTCTCCCAGCAGACAAAGGCAACACCACAGTCGTAATGAACACATCGGACTACCACTCCAAACTATCGAACCTACTCCAAGACCCTGCTTACAAACCTCTGAATACTGACCCCACCACCTACCTAGAAAAAAACCACCAAATCCAAAATAAATGTCTCCCATCAGTGAAGAGGTCCAGCAGAGAATCATCCCCAGAGAAAAATCATCCAGATGCCCTAAGCTCTATGGCCTCCCCAAGATACACATAGAAGGAATACCACTCAGACTCATAGTCAGCTCCATAGGCTCACCTCTACAGAATCTTGCCAAATTTCTCGCCAAACAACTCCAGCCCTACACAGAATCCATCACCTCACATGTACAAAACTCCTTCCACTTCATAGAAACAATAAAGAAGCAAAACCTACAACCCAGCGTCCTACTCGTGAGCTTTGATGTCATATCCCTCTTCACCCAAATACCCATCAAAGAAGCCTTGACAGCCATCCAAAACAAATACAACCCCCCCCCCCCCAAACACATCCTAGATCTGACCAACCACTGCCTAACCAACACATACTTCATCCACAATGGACAAAGATACAAACAGATAGAAGGAGCACCCATGGGATCACCCCTCTCACCCATCACCGCTAACCTATACATGGAACACTTTGAAACCAACACTCTAGACAAATCCGAACACAATCACAAACTCTGGCTCAGATATGTAGATGACATTTTTGTAATTTGGCCACATGGGAAAGAAAAACTGGACAACTTCCTCACACATCTTAACAACCTACAACCCAAAATACAATTCACCATGGAAACAGAAACCAACAACCAACTTCCCTTCCTGGACATCCCAATTTACAAAAAAACCAATGGCTCCCTAGGACACACCATCTACCAAAAAAACCACACACCGACCGCTACCTAAATGCACAATCCCATCACCACCCTGCACAGATCAACTCCATAGCCAAGAC